AACTGGAGTCAGTGTAACACACGGGGACACTTAAACTTGCACCAACAGTAAAGGTGCTCAGGATCTGTATCCACCAAGAGAAGTCAGCCTCATCCACGCAGGACTTGACCGAGATTCTTACGTGCCTGGGACTGCAAGAACGGAGACAGTACCTCGGAGCAGCAGCAAGTTAGAGCATGCAACAGCAGCCTATCAAACAATAACAAGCAGGTTTCTATTGTATTCTTTTCTATGCTTCTTGCCAATCTTAGGAGCAATTTCATACAAGAAGTCATGATTCATTAAGGTGTTCTAAGTTCATTAAAATGTTTTATACTTTAAAAATAGAAAGCAAAGTTTAATTTACTGTATGGGGAAGCTTCCTATGGATCTGGCCTGGCAGAAGTTAAGAATCGCTATCCTAAGCACCCGCTTTCTGTCAGAGCTGTAGAACAACTGCAGATACCTGCAGACCTTGGCAGTGAGCAACATGTAAACAAGGCAGGAGGGAGCTGTGGAAAATATGCATGACCTGTGATGTCCCTACAGACCGATTCTCTACCAACTGAGTAAACTGCTCAAAGCATACCAGCAGGCCAAGGATGCACGGAGTTAACACCACATGCAAAGCTCAAGTTTTTAAAATTATGTGCCTTTCTACCTTCTGCTTGATTAGACCAAGTCTATTCTATGAATTTCCACACCACTCTGAGCCAGTCCTGCTCACAGGTGACCTTTGGTTAAAATCCAACCAGAAGGAGACCTGTCAGGTGAGCCAGCAGGCTGCTGTCAAACTCCACAGCAGATTTCACTATGCTGCACTTGAAGAAGATACGACATTCTAGTTTTAGTGTCCTCATCTATACACGGCCAGATGGTCTTTTGACAAATTACCTGCTTTTGCCTGGTGATCAAGTCCCAGTCATCTACCAGCCATGGTTTCAGCTCTTCTGGGATTTTCACCTTTACTTCAACTCTGTTCATAAATGTTTCTTCCTGAAAAAAAAGTGAAACCAGACCAGTTACTTTCAGATAAGTGTCCAAGCTAAGAGTCACTCATATTCCTTGTTTTCATAACTGAAATATACCGCTGGACTGGCTCCACAGGGAACAAGGGAATAGTTTAGGCTTTTCAAGGCCACTTGGGAACCTTAGTTATGGAAGTTGTAACTTTTCAGAGCAGCATATGCAGGACAAAGTATTACTGTCTGCATAGCTGAGCAAAGCAAGAAATTTTCTATTAAAAAAAAAAAACTGTGAGAGAATCAGAAATACATACACTTTCAACCGTTGGATCTACTCGAGCCCTCTTCTTCCTAGGAGGCTGAGGCGTCTCACTGGTACTGCTCCCTTCTCCAATTCCTGGAGCTGTACAGAAAAAAAGACATTATGCTGCTTAAGAAATCTGGTAAGTCAGTAAGAAACACCAGTTAAAAAGAGATTTAGAAGGAGTTAAAAGTAAGACTCAGATTTCTCTCAGTAACCTTTTCACTTACTTTTTTGTTTCAATCATTACTTGTATTCTGGAAGTCTCAGATAGCTGTAACAGTTTAAACTGATAGGTTTACTTTTATCTGAAGATGAAGGTTTCTGCACTAAAAGCAAACCAATGTCAGTATCTGTAATGCTCTTCAGGAGAAGTTTTGGAACCAGCAGCTCAGCTTTACGGATATGTCACATCTCAATAAGAAAATGTAAGTTTGACTTATGAAGTTATTTCAACAGATCCATGGAGATACCACTTTGGTTTTAATTTGCACAAGGTCAAAAATCTTGACAGACTTAACCAAGTAGTTTGTGTACAAACCAGAGAAGTATGCATTCCTCCTGACCAAGAAGAAGGGACATCTGAAGCCAAGAGGAACAACACAAGGTGACAGTAAGTAAACTTAGTTGAGGCAGATTTCAGGTCTTATTCCAGCTAAGAATCCTTCACCAAGGAGACCCACATATATACAAAATGAAGACATACTTACTTTTCTGCTTGTTCTTTTTTGTTTTCCTGCAAGAAGAACACAAATTATTGCAAATATAAAGACAGCAGTACTTAAAGCCATCAAAAGTAGGAAGCCAGAAAATTTGTCCACCGAGTTCAGAACAATGAGCCAATACTCAGTGGTCTGTGGAGTATTTCAATAAAAGCACACGACAGAAATGCCAAATATGACTTAGCATCACAGTTATGATACAAGATTTTTCATGTAATAGGCTAGAATTTACCATTTTGGGGGAATCACTAAGTTTAAATGTACAACACCCCCGAAGGCAGGCCAAGAACTCAGGAGTATTTAAGAACAGCACTGACTGACACTTATGGAAGCAACATCTACAGATGTTTCCTACCTTCCAAGTGCTCTTGGAAAGCTACACTAGATTAAGTGTTTTACTTCTGTATTTCAGGGATTACTTAGAGACAGAATACGGGACAAAGAAACAGAAGGGATGGGCATTATCAGATAAATCCCAGTCAACTGAATTAATTTCCAGTCAAACACTGAAAAACCACAGTTTTATGGCTACAGCAGTAGAGGGAAGTTTGAACAGTACTATCAGAATTCTACATACAAAGCTGCAAGGGCTGTCTACAAATCCATCAACAACTTTCAGGAGAGATCATGATTACACTTGCCACTTACTGGAAACATTTGGAATAGTACTAAATAGCGTTGTCCCTAATATTGATCTTCTTACAAATGCTTCTCTCAACATTTACTGTTTCTAATTTACACACTGCACACTTCTCTAAAGTCTCCATCCTTAGCCCTTATTTTTATTCCACATGAAGAGCTGTATTTCCTAAAGCTTTGAAAAGACACCTGAAATACAATGCATGCAACATGGAAATACTCAGATAGGTCAAGAGTATCAGTGACAAAATTAAACTGTCCTAACAGGTATATTTTGTAATTATCTGAACTTTGTATATTTACTAACCATTTTCAGAAAATGTTAATTGAGTACTCCTAGCCATGTTTCCATTTGCTCACTATTAATAGGAATCCAGTCAAACCTCTCAAAAAATGCCAATTGTGTGGATAAAACTCCTTCCCAGTAAAAGACTATTTCCTTGGAAATTCACCACTATCTCAAGTGACTCTTGTATTCAGGCTTTGAACTGGGCTTATCTGGGTCGGGAGTAGGCAGAGTTTCTAGGAAGGTCTGAAGACAGGAGGAGCAAGGCTTTTTTCAGGCTTCAAGACACAAACAAGCATTAGGCTTAAACTGTGGGCAGAAGAAAGATCATCTCACTCCAAGAAGAAGGAACAATTGCCAAGTTAAGTCACTGCTAATGGACTTGTGTATTGAAGAGAAAGTCTTTTCTTCCAAACCTAGTGTAAACAAGGAGGAACAGGGAGTTCTTTCCAGAATTAAAATCACAAGATAAAAGTAATGTTAAGCAGTAGTCTATAAACAGCATCTTAGGAAACTGGAACAGACAGACAATATAAAGTACTTAAAGAACTATCACAAGACATTAAACCACATCTATGTCACTGAAGCACAGTCTAGCAGAAACCACTCTAGGCAGTTGCTTGTGCTCTCCCACCTCATTCCTTATATTTCAAGTCATATGCCTGTGCATCAAGTCAAAGCAGACATCTGTCTGCAAAGTCTAAGACAAATCTGAGTTGGGGAACAAACAGAAAGAGCTAAGCTTGAGACAAAGCATTAGCATTTAGGAGATTTTTGTTTGCCTGTACAGCAGGCTGTCTGGAATAATACTCTTCAGTCTGTGAAAGCAGCTGTGCCAGGTGAATAAGGGACTGAGATGTCCATTAGAACCTCCCTACAGCAGTTGGTTAAGAAATGAGCAGCAGAGAAGGAAGGTGGCTACCACCTGGTCTCAGGCATTTGAGTTCAATACATTTGTAAATGCCAGAGAAAAGAGATTAGGCACCAGTTTACTGATAAAACAACAGTTGTTACTAAGCTATATGAAACCATTAAGTCTCTTTAACACAAGGTGACTAGTAATAAAAAAGTAAATTAAAAGATTCAAGTGTAGAAAGTAAGTATGTTGGAAAAAAGGATGAAATCAGCCACTACTACTCAAGCACTGCTCACTAATTTAGCTGGGAGAAGCAGCATTCCTCTCAAGATTCAGTTAAACCGTCAAAGATTATTAGAAACAGGATAAAAAACAAAGTCTGGATTATATACACGTATGTCTCCTGCACCTGGTCAGGCAACCTGACCTTAGAAGGCACCCAATAAAACCAGGAGAGGTAAAAAGAACAAAGAATAGCTGGTGGTGTATAGCAGCATCCATACCAGGAGTAACCAGGCAGACAAGGGCTTCCCAGCTGAGAACTGGCAGGAAGAAGAGGGGAAATGTGGCAGAGGTATCACCAGTGATAAAAGGTGAAGCTCAAAGAGCTAATCAATCTTTCCTCAAGATAGATAAAAAAAAAAGACCAAAAACCCAAAGCATCAGACATTAAAAAGACAAGAGTCATCCTCTTTCCTCCTCTCTTCAACACAGTGCTGAATTAAAATGAGAAGACGCTGATGGGGATGCCAGAAGTCCAAATGGTTCAGAAGTTCAGATAAATCTAAGACAGTCCTACAAAGGGTGATTAAACCTATCACACAGATACAGCCCACAGCTCTAAAGTCCCTTAGTTACAGACTGTTAGAAGCAAAACGATACTTGGGGAGAAGAGCACTCTAGACTAGGCTCACGATTATCCCCAAGCACATGTTACTGGTGACTATCAGACAGCAGAAGAGGTGAGGAAAGTCTCCAGCTTGGGCTGGTGCAGCCATTCCAACATTGTTGCAGCCTGAGACAACTGGCACAAAGGTAGCATTCATATGCCACCTGACACGTAGAGGACTTGAAGGAGCCTGTGAGAGCTCCTAGTGTGCCAAAGATAGCAGAGGATGCCTCCAGAGACGTGCAGCAGGAGCATATGCTTTTGAGTAATATGCTCAGATTAAGAACAAGACATCTATTAGAAGAAAAAAATACCTCCCAAGCTGAGATTGTGTTTTGAGAGCATCTCTAATGAGACCATTGCATATATATAATTTAAAAACAGATGCTATTCACAAATTTGTTATTCAGCGCTGTATCTTCTCTCCAGAACACTCTCAGTTGCCTTCTTATTTTCCAAGCATCTGTTAGCTCCAATTTTTTTACTGATTTTTTTTGCAAGTTAATCATATTAGGCCTATGAAAGGCAGCAGAAACTCCTATAAGCTTGCAGCAGAGCTACATATAAAACAGTCAGTTGTATTTCATTTTTGGCAGCCTGCTATAGCCATACAAATTTTTTTTTCTATGCTAGCTTCTAGTTATCATAAGATGAATAATTGTTTTTAAAACATATATACACCCTGCATTTCATGTATATTTCTATTTGATCAAACATTGCTTACAAATAGTCTCACAAGCTTTTTGAACCAGTTGCTGCAGTTTATAGAACAGTTATTCTGAACAGCCTCAAGCCAACAATAAAAATACAGCACATGAAGGAGCAGGTTCAAACCTCACATTTCTAACACCGTCTATTGAAGCAGCCTCGCTCCCAAGCCTTACAGAAGGCTGGGCAGTTTGTTGCCGATTTCCATGGAAGCAGAACTCCGGATTGCAGTAAGCATGCAGAGCAACCGCAGCCTTCTAGAACTATCCGGTTTCTAAAAGCTGAAGTCAGTTGTCCTCCACTTCTCTTTAAACAGTGGACACACTGAATGCCTTTGACTACTCATACTGTACCCTACCCCAACTGGAAAGGTACACATTTCAGAGAAACTAAAAACCGGTACTCCATACTGGCTTTAAAAAACCCAAACAATATACTGCAGTATGTATAATTGTTAACTGAATTACTACCAAAGCTTACATTATTACAAGTGAGGACTTTAAGAGTCTAACAGAAATCTATGAAAGCAAGGAGATTTGGATTTCAGGATGAAAATCCTGGTTTGACAATCCATCCTTAACTCACCGCGTCGATATTGTAGGGGTCTCCAAACAGCAAACAGTATGCGCTCCATCTCGTCTGAAAAATCTAGGCACAATGGGGGTTGAGTTAAGGAAAGAATGTCAGACCTAGTGTTTAGCCTTAAAGAGAATCTATTTAAGATTCAAAAATTTACCTTTTTAGCAGCACATTACAGTATTACTGAACATTCCTGGAGGATAAGTTGTGCTTAGATCGTTATTTCCCTTCCATTATTGTTTGGCTAGCTGAAGAATAAGTTTCAAAATATAAGTTACCTTTCCCTTTGTCCAATCCTCCAAGAATGCTACAAAAGGTAAATTTTGAGGCTCAAATAGCTTGACAGCATTACCCTTTTAGAACAGTTGTGTGATCAGTTTCTCCCCCTCCCCACCATCAGTAGTTTATGTATCTGCAATGACCTTAGAGTTACAACAAGAGAACAATCGAGAAGTCTTATTTTGGAACTGTATTTTGAGGATTTTCAGAAGCCATCTTGCCTTTAGCTGTAAGCAGGATGTGAGAAGCAAGTTTGGTCAGTAATACATCGGCATCACAACCCTGCATCACTGCTAGGGTAAGTCAAAGTATTTCCCCTCCCTCAGCCTCCAAATAGGGAAGAAAAATAGGGAGATTTTGTTGAAAGTAGCACAGGTCTAATTTCAAAGGATGCATTGGATGCTGGTAATGGCTAGAGACTAGGAGCAAGATCAGTGCAACAAGCATATGAAACCCTGTTATAAATAAATAACCTTCATAATGCAAGACTGCTGTTGTAATGACAATAATTTTCCTTCTGCCCTTTACAACTCTGAAAATCCACCACCAAGGAATTAATTTCCCCAACCAACATGAAACAGAAGTTTCAGAGAACCAGCTTACTGTCTGTTTTGCTATGCTGGACAGTGATGACAGCAAAAAGCAAACCCACTCCCTTTCCCCAACCCGTTTCAGCCCAAGAACAAAGACAGACCTAGTAACATGCTTTCAAGCTTCAGAGTTACACAGAGGCTTAAGATGAATTCATTTTTGTTATGTGGGTCTCCTTTGGATGCAAGATGATTAGGTGTGGTTGAGAGGATTAAGACAACTTCGATTTCAAGCGCAGGTTAACATTTAAAATTTACTCAGCCAGAGAGAACAACTCATTGCACTGCAATCAGGCTGAGCTACCAAGATGACTAAAGCTTGCAGCACAGGGAACCTAATCCCAAAGTTACTATTGGGATGGTTTCTATAATGCAAATTGTAAACATTTACAAATGAGTCATCACTCCCTGTGTCAAAGTTACACAAGAAATTAATTCTACTCTCACTGACTCAAATGCAAGAAGACTCAGGTGCAACAACCCTTTAAGCAGCCAAATTAGTAATAGTCATAATTTACATCTGTTTAATTAGATTTTAATGACATTCATTACAAACTGTCTAAACAGACATTTGGTTTAGGTTTCTTGCACCCCCAAATGAAGACAAACAGGTGACCAGGTCCCTGACAGAGGTCCGTCCTGAGCTGACAGAGCACAAACAGGTGGTGTTAGAGCACCTCAGAATCCACAGCCACAGACCCCAAGGAGCATGCACGCAGCACGACGGCCACATCCACCAGACTCCCCGTTCCAGAGACCAAGAGACAATTTACAGCCTTGGCTGGGCTTTGACTAACCCCAAAGTGAAAACTGCATTCAGAACCTAGAGAGAAAAACCTGCACCCACTACCACTGCACTTCTCAAATCAATTATATATATTTCATAACAAAGCTGCCCACAAATGAGACATGGAATCTGAGGCTGCTGCCAAATGCTCTTCCTTTTGTCATTTCAGCAGCTTCCTCATGAAGACCAGAATCACAAATGAAGTCAGGAGTTCAAAACACCTCATTAGTCATTACCATCCTCATAATTAAGTGAAGTACTTCCCCAAAGAGAAGATTTTGATGGCACATGAGCAAAGCAGTCGAGCTGTACTGACTGTATGAGAATCTAAACACCACACAAGTCTATTCTGAAAAACAGAAAGGATGGAATGAAAGAAGTTTGACAGTTATAGCCTGAAATTATTTTTTTTTAAATAAATGTCTGAGCTTGCTTCTGGTCTCTTAAGATTCAAAACCATTTTTAATAGCATACAGGTTTAGTTTTGTCAAAAACGGCAAAACAAAGACTCTGCAAATACCATTTTAACAATTGTGCAGTAAGAAGGCAAGGCATTTTAAGGGTTTTATTCAAAAGTGTTTGCACAGCTTGGAAGAACTGTAAAGTTCTATATAGAAAATTATTTCACTGAGATGCACAAGCCTTATGAGACTGAGTGTCAGTTCACTAACTTAGCAGAACAGTGCTAAAAAAAGTACAGAGTGTTAGTGCCTACTCAGTACCTTGATTGAGTATTGAACACTGCTCAATCTAAGACAGCAGTTCTAATGAAACACTTCAAAGGCCTTTTTGATATTACAAAAGTGAAACAACTTCTGTGTGGGCTCTGTCAGAAATAATGTAGTTTAGCCTCCATAACCATTCTGAGAAAAATACTATTTAAAGATCAATAGTAAAACTGACAAGCAAAAGTTCAGGAGGTTTTTGGGTGTGGGTTGTTTGTGGGGTTTTTTTTGTTTGTTTTGGTTTTTAAATAAAAAGCTTCTTACACTTCAACATTTTTCTGCTGCAGACCAGAAGTCTTCTTGCCCGGAGCAGCACCTCTCATCTTCCCCTCTGCATACTGTTCCCTTTAAAAAAAGGAGTAAATTCATAAATCAGACTTTAATAGAAAAAGCAGGTTGTGTTCCCTCAAAGGGTAACAGGTTATGCAAAACATTTAGAGAATGTCTATTAAATGGATTTGCTAATCAGTATGTGTCATGAACAGGAACAAATTCAACTCAATATAAGATTGAGGCTTCTTCATACAACCCTTGGCAGTATGAACACCCATCTCCCCCCTCCCCAACATCCCTGTTATACTGAATCACATGGAAGCATCACACTGCTTCTGAAAAACATAAAACAACTTCTCAATAAAAGCATTTATAAAGAAATACAAGATAAGCATTCATTAAAAAAAAAACTAAGTATTCATAGGCATCCTTACCACTCAATTATTTTAAGGATACTGCACAAGGGCCATTTTTAGACACCTGATTTCCACATTACAGGGTGTACCTGCAGCTACTCAAGCTGAATCTCCACTTCCTCAACCTACTCCTCCTCAAAACCTCAAGTCAGCATTTTAAAACTGAGTAACAGTTTGCTCTTTCTGAACTGCTAGAGGACAAAGATCAGAACATCTCTGCAAGCCAAAACATCTCCAGAATAAATGAACATATGAACACCTCCTGAAGGCTTTTTTTTTTTTTAAACTCACTAACTTCCCTTGATATATAGTTGTTGGATTGAAGCTTTATAAAAAATTATTTAATGACAAGGACTTTTAACAAAAATACTTACTGATTGGCCTTCTGAAGTTCTTTTTGTTTCTGCAAATTGGTATCCACGTATTTGAGCACTCTGCTTTCTGGAACCCATTCATCCCAGCTGAAAAAAAAATTAAAAAAAAATCAAACCATCATTCCAAAACATTACATAATTGCATTTTATACAGTCACTTAAAATCTTCACAGAAGTCGAGACTGAACTCTGCTTTTGTGTCAAGTCATGGACTGGCACAGCTGAACGTGTGAGTTACCAAACGCATTCCCTACTGACTGAGGCAGTAATGATTTTTCTAGGGAAGTGTAACCTGCAGTCATTTCCAAAGAGTTTCTCAAACTTGAAGGAGGGGCAATTTAGGAGGGAGGGGACTGTCTTTAAATCAAAAGAAGCATCTCAGGAAAAAATATTCTACACTTAGCTAAATTATGGGACACCTGTAGCCATAACTTCATTATGAAGCAAGCTTCCTGGATCTATTCCAACATTTTACAGATTAACAAATTCAGCAATAAGATCTTACTGTAAGAAGAAGAGCTCTGATTTCTGTCTGTGAAGGAAACCAAGATGGCATGAATATTTGAAGAATCTGAAGTGAACGATTTAAGAGAACAGGTGTTGGGGAAATTGCCGTTACGAGCAAGAATTTCACTTTGACAAAGAGTGGATAATCTGAGCAGTCCGACAAATTATTTCAAATAAAACACATTAAAAGTGGCCAAGTTATTCTAAAGTACACAAGCTAAAGCTCTTTCTATAGAGAGTTCTGTGTCACTTTCATTCCATGGCAATAGCTGCCAGTCTTGGCACATCAAGGTGGCAAACCCAATACTCCTCCAGCAGTACAAGATCTTCAAGAGCATCAAGACAAGGCGAGCACAGCATCGCCAGGTTACAGAGAAACACATGCCCAGCTGTAACGGTCTGGTTTTAGCATAGTGCTCTGCTCAGATATTTAAGCCACTAATCCTACTCCTCCCTGTACAGCTGCAAGAGACCTTCAAAAGAAGTGCTATGTAACTGTGTGGCACACTGTACTGTATAATGAAGAAACATTTTTGTATCCTAACTGTTGATATTTGCAAAAAAAAATTCAGAAGTTGAGCAATTAACAGAGGTCCCTAATTACAGAAACCAAATAAAGAGTCACATTGCCCCAGTTGACTAGATCTTGCAGCAACACCACTTGTAAAGTAGTTAATTGAAAGTCTAAAGGCAAAAAAACTCAAACAGTGCACACAAGAAAAGTAGGAGTCACGACATCACTTATGGCACCATTCAGAGAGAAACACAGAGAGGAGGTATCAAATTTATGCTGCCTCCTTAATATACAGCAGCCACCGTAAGAACCAATTACACTCCCAGGAACTGTCCGTGTTCACAATGAAGCATGTATGTGCCCATTTGGCAGGCAGGGTGCGTGGGTGCATTTTAAAGAGCTGGATACTCAAACATGAAGTTCAGCTTTTAGTCATGACAGCGAGATCAAGATACTAGTGACTAGAGTCTTCACTCTAGAGTCTGCAGCACTGAAATGAAACTAAACCAAACAGGAATGTGCTCTCTGAAAGACTTCTGAAGAGCTGAAGCTTTTAATCGCTAAGAAAAAAACCTCCCCTTTTCCTCAATTCACTAGTGGCAGAACAGAATTCAAATGAAAGGAAAAAAAGCCCATAAATGCAATAATCTCATGAAAGTATTCACCTTTAATGGGCTCAACATTTATTTCAGAGATGCCTTTATTCTTCATTCATCTCTCACCTCAAATCCTACCATTTTTGTAGAAAGAAAAAGCATCTCCAACTTTACCCAAGCATGAGGGGCAGGAATCAAAACACAGGCTAGCCCTGCTCCTGTGAAGGATTAAACCAGAAAGCCTTTCCCATTCTAAACACAGCCCTCAGGAAGGCGTGCCTCTCCAAGTCTGTGCTACCAAACTTTGTTGCCAAAAGTGGTACAAAAGTAGAGTACACTGTGTATTTGGGTAGAGAGTTCAGCTCCACCTCAGCAGGGGATGCCTTTCCCACCAACAAACAACAAGGAAGTTTTTGTAGTAGGTATTTCTGCCAGGGAGGAGTTACAGTAACTATTTGCAGACTTGAACAAACAGAATGCTATAAAGCGTTCTCCTTAGCCTGCTGACACCCTGAGCTGGTTTGTCTATAGAACCAAGTCTCTGAAGGAAAAGAGCTGGTTAGGCAATGTTTTCTCATGTTACAATAAATCATTGGCTTCTGTGTAAAAATCCTTTAGGTGCATTTCAGAAACAATCTCCTAATGACACAGACATGGTAGTGCTAGTCCAGCAAGCTCCCATTCAGACTGACAAAGCTCACATTTTCCCGTAAAGCGAAATGAAATACTGCTTTCATTTCATGCAATACTTACTTTTTATTCCAACCACTGTAATGGATGAAGTATTTTACTTGCTTGTCCTTTATGGCAACCTTTACACACTGGAACAGAGAAGAAAGTTCAGTCAGTACCGATGAGAACAAAGAACGTGTTTTGCATTTTTACCTTTCAGAGTTTAAGCATACAGAGATGTCCATGCAAGCGACAAATACCAGCAGCTCTCTCACAGCAGAAAGTAAGTTCTCTAACACAAGTTACTGCCTAATTACATATCTGGAAGGGCTAGGCAAACAAGCCACTCTGCTCAGTGACCCAAAGGAACACCATCACTCATGAGAAGGATCAGGAACCCCCGAGGATGACCAGAAGAGAACACAAGCGGTCACTTCTCTACCCCCAGGTTAGCCAGAAGCTGTTCACCAGAGCTGGTTCACATGCAGGCCCCTACCTCACAGATAGGTAAGCTGGCTGAAGCAGAGGAGTCTTCAAAAGTAAAATAAATAATATGGATCTCTATAGCCACAGAGAGAGTATTACATTCAGTAGAAAGGGTTGCAGTAAGGGCTTTTTCTAGGTTAAGAATGTACACAGGTAAATAAATACAGTTATTTCCACTGAAAGATTGGCCTATGAACACAGTAACTTCCTCAAACACTGATATTAAGGTGAGACCATTAAAGGGGGAACACACACATAACAAGGTTGCTCCAACCACTCCACAGTATCACCCAGATTCAGAAATGTCCTTCCCAGACTTTTCTGCTTTATAATTTAGCACAGCCCTACTCACGGCCTGCAAGACCCTGCCTCAGCTCAAAGGAATACGCTCATCTGAGCTGGAACAACTGCACACGCTGCCCAATAACAGCTTCCTCCTGCCCTGCCGTCTGGCACGTAAGAGCTCAAGCTACCACCTCTGTGGAAGAGAACAACATAGCCAGAGACATGCCTCTTCCTGCAAAAGTGTAGCCCAGACCAGAAACTACATAACCCACCTTATGTCCCTGAACTTCTTAGCTACACCAAATTAAACCCACCAGCTCCAGCTTGGATAAGGCACTTCATCCAGCAAGGTATCAGGTCTTGCTCCGGATACACCGAGATACAGATGCCACCGCAGCACTCTAACAGCAAAACATAAGGGTGTGGTAAAACATGAAGAGCCACCCTCTTTGGCTCCAGCTTTTAGTCCCTTTTTAAGGTTGTTTCCATCGAAGTAAAGAATGACTCATAAAAGTCATAATCACTATTTTCTTTACACACTAATTGAGTTAGCTCTAAGTATCTGAAAGGGCAAGAGCCTTCTGCGGTACAGCATCTTCCCAGGACCTTTGCAGTAACTCCTTCCTGCACCCTCTCCAATTAAAAAAATAAAATAGTCAGCACAGAGACGAACATCATATTTCAGTACTAATCTCCAAAATGCCAGAGCCTCATCTAGACCTGCAACTAGGAGTAAGGACATCCTAATCTTGTTGATATACTACTGCACCAGAGGCTCATTTTGACAGTCCTGGAGTTAAAGCCAGCTAAACACAGACATGCCTCCTCATTTCACAGAATGTAAGAACTGAGTGTGAAGCAAAAGATTCACATATAATTCTGTACCAAAATATCTTCCTTCCTGCTGGAGGTGGTAAGTGCCTTAAGTGAATCTCATTTAACTCTGCACTGTACAGAGACACACAAACAGCTACTGTGTGCCAGAATTTGTCACACTACTCTAACACAAACGAGTGCTTCTCTGGCCACCTTGCAATGGGAAGCCAAGGATACAGTCATCAGGACCAAAATACCTCACATACTGAGAATCACGGAAGAAACACACATCAAAGGAACAGGAGGAAAGCTAAGGTTATTATTCATTACCGCCTACAAAGTACCTTTGTAAAATTAAACCCAGTTCCTTCTGCCATTTTGGGAGCCCACAAGGATCCAGACTCTCCATACAACTAGCCAGCCAGAAACTATCATGCCAACTGGGAAACCCCTTCCAGCACCAAGCTGGCAGGGCCAGCTCCTGCAACACTCATTCCACCCTCGCATAAAGGAGCGGAGAGGCACAGCACAGCCCTGGAGCAGCTCTGGGCTCTTCAACTGATCAGAGAGTTAAAACTGCTGCTAAAGGAAGTTCCTTTCCACAACACCAGAAGCCTTGATTCCTCTCCTCTCTGTACTAGGGCCTGGGCAGGCACTGGCAGAGCACACACTCACAACGGATTTGCCCTCCAGTTCTAGAGCAAGGGAGAGAAGAGAATAGAATCACTACAGTGAAAATGTTTTAGACAAGCACATCCCCTGTCAACACTCTGGATGTTATTTTAGATTATTAGATTGACTATCTCCTGATAGCACGAAGAGATATTAAGTATTTCTAGCTGCATCCCTACAACCACCTCTCTGAAGTTGTCCCATCAGTTACCATTTACAACACTAAACCTCAGTGGATTTAAATCTGTTTAAGGTATCCCAGGAATTTCTGCAAGTCTAATCCACACAGCTACAAAAGCCCTTTTTTTTTCATTTTAGAGGCAGTGGAAACAGGCAGCCAAATGAGGAGCTACATCTTCAGCGAAACAGATGGCAGGGCAGTGACATGTGCTTAAGGCCCCCAAGAACAGCACACAATTGGAAGTGTTGCAGCAGAGGCCTGCAACTGAAGCAGCAGGGACACTGCTCCAAGTCACACATTTGCAATGCATGGTTTCTGTGATTAAAAAGCCAGAACTGAGAATGCCACTTCCTTTGTCACTTTTAATCCAGCACTACCTTCTGCAGCGTTGTCCCATTTGAAGACCACTGATTGTA